TCAGCATCCACCGAAGGTCGCTGGCAGAATTATCTTTCCACTGACTTTCCTAAGCTGATTTATTTATGGACAGTGGACAAGACTAATTTAGGCTGGAATGTATGTAGGTAAAGAAAAGATGACTGACTAAAGCCCTCATTGTAATAAAATTAAGTATTTGCAGAAGAGAAACGCTCTATGGGATTATTTATTATTTCTATGCAGTACATTAAAAGGGAGCATATAGAGGAAAAAAAACGCCTTCTCCCTTCAGCCAAGGGAAGCATTCAGTTTACAGAGATGATTAACCGTGGGAATTTGCTGCGTATTTTTTATTAACGTGTAATCTGCTCCAGGGATACATGCAATCCTCGAGAGTCTTGGGGTCCAGTTACTCCTTTTCCTGAAGTGCCCTTGAGACTCACTTTCAGACTAGTGGCCTCAGGTTTGTTGTGCTTTTTAGGCTGATCCCAATTTTCAGCCTCTCATTTAAAGAAAAAGCCCACATCAGTCAAGAGCTTATTTAAGTGCCACCTCTCTATCTAGCTGGGTAAATACAGGAATAAACGCACCTCCAGGGTAATCAGGGTTCTTCAAGCCGCTTGGAGGAGGAAAAAAACCACTGTTGTAAGGAGGGCTCGGTTGGGATGGAAGGTGGTTTGGATGGGAGCAGAGGAAACAGCCTGGCTGTCCTGGCCTCCCCCTTTGGTGCCCTTCCCCGGGGGCTCAGACAGCGGCTTCACCATCGTTTCTCTGGTTGTTTTGGTGGAGCGGCTGCTTCTAAGCTGCAGGATGATGGTGGTGACCCATGAACAGCAAAGGGCCTCACCAACAGCTATGATGGAAAAGTGTTTGGATCCCCCCGTGAGGTCCCAGCTGGAAAAGCGTTTGGTGAAGCATCGCAGTGTTGTGTGGCACAGTTGGACCTGAGGTAGCAGCCATGCTTTCATCTCTCATCTCTGGAGGAGAGCGGTCCTTGGCAGTCAGGGTTATCGGGGGCAGCAGCAAGGTGCTAGAGGAGATCTTGCATGCGTGAGCCCTTGCCTCTGGCCGAGGAGGGTATTTCAGTTCCTTAGCTGAACCTGAAGTCCTGGCTTGTATCTTGCTGAGGTCTTCCTTCTTCCTCCAGAGAAGCTCGCTGGTACTTCATGTGATCAAGAGAGACTTCACTCTGCTGGCCTGGCCGCATGTCGGCATCGTGGGCAGCAGCTACTCAGTTGGCCTGAGGATGGAGGCCCTCCCTCGCCTCCTCCCTTGCGAGCGGCTGCACCCTGAGCTGACCCTTCCTGACGAGGTTTCCTGCCCTAACCGCGCCGCTCGACACCACAACCGGGACAACCTCTGTCCTTCCAGCACCACCTCTTTCCTGCAGGGCTTGGTGGGACTCTGCTGGGGACTCGGAGGAGGTGACAGCAGGTGGTGGCCATGGGTGGTTTAGAGGTGGAAGAGCGCACACAGACCGGCGGTCAGGGCACCTGGGCTGAGCCGCTTTGGGGGCTCACCTGAGAAGCTCTTCCCCAGGGCTGCACTCTTCTGCAGCCAGAACGGTGCCATTTGGGAGGTCATTTGTTTCCGAAATGTTTTAATTTGCAGCTTCAGCATTATTTATCCTCTGCCCGCCTCCCTATTTTGGTTCGTTTTACAATATTCCTCTCGTCTAATACGAGTCCCCCGGGGCCTCGTGACGTTTTCCATTCCCACCGAAGCAGCACGCTTGGGACTTTCTCTTCTCTTAACACCCCGCACACCTCATGGAGCCTTTAAAGCTCTGAATCTCGCCTTGTCCATGTGCTCCGGGACGCACTTACTGCTGCGTACGGTTGCTCTTCATTGCCACCGCTCTCTAGTTTAGGTTAAGAGAGGTTACCTGGGGCTTCTTCTGGACACGTTCATGTGTTTGCAGCCCAGCTCCCCAGGGGTTGGGTGGTCAGGCCCTGTGCCGTGTTCGCCGCTTGCACCCCAAGCAGCAAAACGCTGCGCTCGGGAAAACTCCGGCGGGTGCGGACAGACGGACAGACGGTCGTGTTCTGCTGCAGCCGTGTCCCCTTGACCCCGGCTTGACCCGGCTCCTCGCTTGCTGCTCCTGAGCTCATTTGCCTTATTCCTTAGGCTTACGGCTTTCAGGTTTCCTACTTTCCTTAAGTTGCTATAAATCCGGGTGCAGATAACCGCTATGTTTTATTAAACTGTAGGATGCCCAGAGAGGTAGTGGAGTCTCCTTCCCTGGAGATACTCAAAACCCGTCTGGATGCGATCCTGGGAAATATGCTCTAGGTGACCCTGCTTGAGCAGGGAGGTTGGACTAGATGATCTCCAGAGGTCCCTTCCAACCTCAACCATTCTGTGATTCTGTGATCTCTTGCTGTCGCTGTTGCTCCCCACCCAAGGGAGCCCTCTCTGCCGTCTGATCTTCCCGTCTGCGCGCTGAAAAGCTCTTCTCGCACACCTTGGCGTACGGCACGGGGCAACGGGCGGCTTTTTAGGAGTGCTATTTCAGCCTGCGAAGCAAATCCGGGCACCCGTGGGAGGCCGCGCGCCTCCGGCCCTCGCATGCCGCTAGCTTTCCCCGGCGCGTTGCGTGGCCGCGCGGTTCGAGCGGGGTTTGCTGGGTCATTCGCCAGCCCGAAAACCCTCGTGGCGGAGAAAGGGCCGGGGGCAAGGGGGGGGGGCGGCTGAAATGAGTTTTCAGACCTCAGCTTGCGCGTCCCTAAGGAACGTTGTTTGCCCGAAGCTGCCCCGTTAGTGTTACGGGGTGCGACCGTTTCAGGAGAGCCCTCGGAGCCCGTCGACGGGCGCGCGCAAGCGCCTGTTGGCCCAGCACGGGGAGTTGGTCGCGTACGCTGACCGCAGCGGCTGGCGTGACATAGCGCACGCCTGCGTTATCATGTGGCCCTAGGGCAGGCAGGGCATTTTTGTCTCTATCTTCGTCAGCTATATCGGTGCTGCTCCCAGATAAGCTGCCGGGGTCGAGCGGACAGGGAAACGGTGGATGCAGCGGGGAGCATGATGCAACATCTCTGTTGGAGGAGTCAACGCCTTCCGAGAAGCGAGAAGGTGACTAAAGGGCTCCTAGGTCCTCACTCTTCATCAGGTGCCTGCGTTTGCATCGGGAGGCAGTAGGTGGAAAATGCTGCTGATTTTTGCAGTGTTTTGTATGGTGTCAAGCACCACTCGAGTAGCTGCTCCGAGCCATCCGGAAGAGCAGAACGTCCCGGTTAGAGGCAACCCTGTTCCTAAGGAGATCCAGACCTGGGTCTGGAGTCTCATCTCCCACCGGTGCAAATCAGGTGGAGCTGCACTAAAGTCGGAAGATCTATGTGGGTATAAAGCTAGCATAACTGGAGCCAGATCCAAACGCACGGTTCTTGCTTTCCACTTAGGTGTCTTCAATCACGTTTCAGCCCCGCTGCTGAAGTGGAAAGTCTGGCAAAGCTGAGTCTCGCTATCAGTTAGTGGCTCTGTGTAGTCCCCGGGTAAGATTTTGATAGCAGAGTTTGTCTTCCTGAGACTAATAGGAGCAGCTTCACAGCCGTCACGTGGACACGGCCAAACTCCGCACATCTCGCGTGGCTCCGGCAAAAGCGAGCGCGAGATGGGCACTAGCCTCAGCCCAGCTAGGACAGAGTTTAATGGGCTGGTTCTTTTTAAAAGAGACATTTCATATTAACACTCTTTGCTCGTAGGACTAGTGATTAGTAGCGGTCGGTGAGCTGCATTTAAATAGAGCTGTGCCAATGGCATGATGCTGTAGTGAAAAACAAGTCTTGCAGCACCTTATGAACTTCCGCGATACGTGCTTTTTCCAGACGTAGTAAGGCATGTGCCGGCGTCGTCGTTGGCACGTCTCAAACATTTTAGCTGAGCGCCAGCGAGCGTGTGGAGCGCGCTGTTGTGTCTGTACATCTTGATTAACTTGATCTTAATAATCAGTGACGGAGCGAGCGGCAAAGAGCCGCTCTGTGAATTCCAGTTCGCGTGCCACTGAGGAAAACCCATTTTAATGGCGGAGCGCTAGAAAAA